GTGTCGGTACCGCGTACTGGCGTACTGTTGATGCCTTTTTGTCCATATTCCAGGAGCTCCCTGTTAGGTAGTTTTTAGTGCTTGATGTTAACGTGGGTGTCGATGGCAAAGCATCAGCACCGTTGCGCTTACTGCCACCCTATGGGCTATAACCAGTATGTTTATAATGGGGATCAGGAAGGTGTGTAAGGGTAACAGATAGGATGGAAAGTTGATTCAGCAGTATCACGTTTTCACTCATCCGTCCTGCATTATGTGAAAGATAAATTCCCCCTTAAAAGCTTCTCGAAGATCAGCGCGAAAGTATTATGTACTTCCATGTAAACTTCATTGTTGAATATGTTCTAGTGTAATGCCGTAATGTGTAGCCGTAGGCAGCGATTGTTTGCGGTCCGCAACCTAAACCTTTGGATCAAATACCTGAATGCGGGTTAACGGGACTTAGGTAGTGTTCGTACTAGACCGATCCGTTCCACTTCATTTTCAGTCCATAGCCTGGACGATCAGGAAGCTGATTTTATTTCAAGCCTGCCCTCTAGGGTGTGGAATTAGTAGCTTTCAATTGGCCTTTTTGCGCCACCCAGTGTTGCTCTAATAACTGGGGAGTTGTTCAATTGGTCGCATCACGCTTACGCATATCTCCTACTTAACACTGGTCGCCCGATTGGTCGCCGAGTAGGGAATGCGTTCAATATTCACATACACCTCGCGACATCCACCTGTGGGCTCTTTATACTTCATGATTGTTTTGCTCTCATCGCTGAATTTTTCCATCCTGATTGCACTTCGCTTTGCGACCTATTATGTCTAGAGCTCTGATGCTCGTTTGTCTTCCTCCATCTCATTTTGGCCCATGGCGACGAGTCTGGACCTTAACGTGGTGCGATGGTTTGTGTGCCTCAGTGATCCATTGAGTTATGCTAGGTAATGCTTTTTGCACTTTCAGAGCCACTCATACCAGACTGGTCAATGGTTAGAAGTCACACTCAGTCTCCTGGCCCTCCAGGTTCTGAGTTGGAGTGAAGGTGGCTCCTTATCCCATAAAACGGGCTCTCTATGGTCTAGTGCCAAAACCCCGCTACCTCGCGGTAAGGTTTTTGAACTAAAGGCTTTGGTTGGTAACCCTAATCGTTCCCCTGTCTAGGCCTGGGCAACCTGGCAGTGTTCTGCCCACGCAATACAATGAACCTTACTTCTAACAATTTCTTGATGTTTTGGCCGTCGCAGAAAATAATCAGCGGCACCCTATCCGCTGCATCGAACAGGGTGGATAGCGGTTTTGGATGCTACTACTCAGGCCTTCCCGTTTTCTTTTCTCCCTTCTTGCGCTTTTTCATCCTCAGCGTCCCGTTCCAACTTCACTTTCAGCCCCCCCTCAATTCCTTGCCTTCTCCACCTTGCTTGAATAGTCGCTTGTCTTCTACTTTCCACACACACAGTCTCTGGGCCTTGCTCCAATCTAGTCGACAAGTCCATGTTCAACCAAGCGGATAACGTCAGTTCATCCGTTTTCCTTTTGAGTCCCCGATCCTCGCTAAGACTGGCATGTCTCATCATGCGCACTTTGACACACATTGGCCAACAGGCAGCACTTGTCCGCACACTAGAGACCCAATCGATCGATATTTGCTGTTTATCAGAAACCCGCCCGCAAGCTTCGAGCTCCGTGCTGACCCAGCGGTCCCCCACATGCGACACTGGCGGCACATTCCCATTGCGCGTGTCTGGCGATGATGCAGCTTCAAATGCCGGTCAAGCTGGCATCGGCATTGTTTTGAGTCCATGGGCTGACGCTGCCCTGATCGATTAGATCCCAGTCAACAGTCGGATATGCGCCGTTAGATTATCTGGTTCGTTCCATGCTACGAAATCGCGCGGAAACAAACGGTGCTTGTTTGTTATTGCGGCCTACGTCCCTACAGACTGTGGCACTGATTCGGTGAAGGATGATTTCTATCAGCAACTTCACGATCTCCTTCGTTACAGAATAAGCACGGATATTGTGGTGTTGGCTGGTGATCTAAACGCCCAGGTCGGAAAATTGTCCTCTGTTGAGCTTCAAATGGATGGCCAACATGGTTTAGGCTCCCGTAATGATAACGGTGAGCGATTACTACAGCTGTGTGAAGATGCTCGTCTCTTTCTACACAGCACGCGCAAAAGCGTGGTTTGTTGGCCACCAGCTTCAGGTCAGCCATTTACGTAAACCAGTCATATCACGATCAGTTACCGCTGGAGAGGCTGCGTCCAGACTGTCGCTCGATTTGGCTCACGAGCGGGGAATCTGACTACACACTTGTCTGCGCCGACCTCCCAGTTCGTTTCGGTGGACGTCCGCAACATCGATGTGAACGGATTGACACCAGCCACCTAGCGGAGCCAGGTGTTCTGAATGTGTATCAACGTGCGCTGACATCCGGGCTGAGTAAGCACCCACTGAAACTCATTGGATGCATATTCGCCAAATGTTACTCTCAGCAGGCATGTCTTCATGTGACAAATCAAATTGCCAAACTGGACATTGGGTCTGTACGCAGTCTCTGGAACTTATGTTTGCTCTTCGACTTGTTCTGGCTGGAAGCGGACACAATGAGACTCGTACAAATCTCAGGGAAAATCTGCGTGCTATCGTGAAGTGAAACCGCGAAGCCTCATGGTCTCATCGTGCATCGGAAATGGAACTAGCAGCTGTCGTTGGTAATCGTCATAAGTTATTCCGTCTGATACAGGAAATGTGCATCAGGAGACCTCGTGTTAGCGAGACAATACGCAAGAGTGGACAGCCTATCCACAGCTTGTCAAAACGCTCAGAGCGTTGGGCCGCACACTTTGCATGACAATTTAACCAACCTAAGTTATCGCTTTCTTTTTCGGGCATTGAGCGCCCTTCTCCCTGTGCCGTTTTGGATACGCCCTCACGCGCAGAAGTCGAACGTGTGATCAGGCATTTGAAATTGCATAAAACCGCTGGTGCAGATAGAATTCACCCAGCCCTCTTCAAATTCGAAGGATTTGCTCTTATGGATGCTTTACACGAGTTGCTAATGAAACCTTGGGAGCAGGAGACTATCCTGACAGACTGTAGCCGTTTCGCCATTGTCCCAGTTTTCAAGGGAAGCTCCCGTTCGGAATGCAGCAATCATAAAGGGATCAGTCTGATTACAATTGCCTCTAAATTGCTTGCGTCTGTCGTTCTCCACATACTGACAGGCACTCGTGAAAACCAGATCCGTGAAGTGCAAGCCGGGTTTCGTCGAGGCCGGGGCTGCATTGATCACATCTTCATCTTGCGTCAATTGTCGGAGAACCGCCATGTTTATTGATGACCCGCTGTTATCGTGTTTCTTGACATGAAAAGTGCTTTCGATTCCGTCGATTGATGTGCCCTTTGGGACTGTCTTCTGAGAAAGGCTGTGCCTGATATATACGTAAACATTACCAAAGCGCTGTACGCGCATAGTTCGGGCACAGTGCGGGTTTATGGCCAACTGTCACCACCTTTCAGTATCACCAGCGGTGTGGGACAAGGTTGCCCCTGTCAACTTTCCTATTTAACTTCGCAGTTGACGAAGTCATGGATACAGCATTCACTGTACTCCACCTAGAAGGTGTGAAGCTACTTCCTGGTGAGCGACTTCTTGATTTGGTGTATGCGGACCATATTGCCATAATCTGTGATAGGTCCTAAACATGCCAAGCAGCACAGGACCGATTAGCACTGACCCTATTGTTTTGGGCTATGCTTTGCTCCATCGAAATGCAAAGTACTTCTCCAAGATTGGCAAGGACCTACCCCTGCGCTGAGCCTGGTGGTGATCAGCTAGAAGTCGTTCAGGAATTCAAATATCTTGGCAGCTATATTAGCGCCAGTGGGATCGAAGCTGAGATTACGAACCGTTTAGCAGTGGCTCCAGGTGCTTTTCCCAATTTGACACAGAGCCGACATCACTCTCGAGCAGAGATTATAATGCAACCGTCCGATCAACCGTCTTATAGGGTTGTGAAACCTGGCCCAGCAGGTCGACAGACATGAAGAGGCTAGCCACGTTCAGTCATCGTTGCCTCAGCAGCTTAGCTCATGTCTGGTTGGAGCACCGCGTAAGCAATGAGCGTGTTTGGCGTCGCGTATTTAATGCAGGAAAAGCTAGTGAACCGCTTAGCACCTTTATATCACGCACTAGGCTCCGATGGCTGGGTCATGTGTTGCGCATGCCAGCACACCGATCATCGCGACGTGCATTGTTTGCGCGCCGTAGGTGCGATTGGAAGAGGAGGAGGGGAGGGCAAGCGATGACTTGGTCGTGAGAAATGGAAACCCTCACTTCGAAGTTGGCGTCGGTTGCTGCATCCCGGCTATCTAGCTGGAGTCCTAAGGACGGTGAACACGTTTGGTTGGACACAGTTGCTGATATGGCTAGGAGCCGGCCCAATGGGGTTTGTATTGTGAGTTCCTTCGTCCACCCCCTCCCCTTTAGGTTTCCTTTTCAATCTCATGCAAAACGCATAATATAATATTTAACATAATCTTTTTCAGTGTAATTTTTCAGTTTTATCTTTCGTGGTGTTTGTGTTTCTCACTCTCATCTAACGTGTACTGATGATGATCAAATTTTACTTATGAGAGCATTTGCGTTTATGCTGTTCTCCTCATTACTTATCAAATTCCGAGGTAAGCTGCCCACTGTTACTGTAGTTCTCTTTCCGGTTATCTCAGCTTTACTTCACGCGTAAAGTTCCATCACCAACAATATAACTTCTTCATCTTAGTCTCCGAATAACTTAGATGGTGTGGAATTGTCTTCACATTGTGTCCAATTGGTCTGGATCCACGTAACAGCTTCTTGCTTGCGAATTTTCTTCCTTTTAGATTTGCCTTTGTCGACTTACTGATAAACGATAGCACCTATGGCGCTATTTGTGCTTTCCTTTTTGTAACTGTAGTTTCATTTCGTTCTATCAGCACCTATCTACCTGGTCCGTGATTTCTTTTATCCTTCTAGGCACTGATCAGACGATCACCTGGTGTGAAATGGATCTCCCCTGCCTCGGTTACCAGCTTTTGCCACTCAGTTGTGCAATACCCCATCATGTTACTCCACAGTTTTTCCTGTGCGCAAAACCTCCATCTCAGCTTGCCTTACTTTTTCGTTGGCGCTTACATTTCGAATTCCGTTTGGTTCCTAAATCTTCCCCCGTGGTCAACAAACAGGAGCGATTTTCCTGGACTCTTCCTATTCACTTGGTATCACATCTTCCCGCTTCTGATCCTCCTGGTTCCCTCCTTTTACAGAAGATCTGACCACCGCTTTAGTACCTTACGATTACTACCTTGTGGGCTTTGATTATGTTGTAGTTGTTACAGAAATTACTTGTATTGTAACTTATATTTTTCGCTTGTTTGTTTAACGACTTTTTGTTTTGGGTTTCCTTTCACTATTCCTGCTTCACTTAGCAACTGACTGCATATAAGATGGTGGTGTATAGTGTTTGTTTTGTCGAGTTCATTTAGCTTTTACTTGCGTCACCCTTACTCATGCATATTCGTCTTTAGTGTTCCGGAAAAGTATGTTACCATACTTGACGCGCTATATCTCCACACTTCAGGCCGGGTGAGAGCCTATGGCACGCTTTCCCCATTCTTCTATGTCACCAGTGGCGTACGACATGGATGTCCATTGTCACTGTTTCTATTCAACTTTGCGATCGACGATGTCCCTTTAGGAGCTTTATAGGGCCTGCGAAACTTCGGCGTCGAGCTTCTTCCAGGTCATGTGACGACCGATTTAGGCTACGCTGATGATATAATCTTGCTCGGTAACGACCCCCATAGGATGCGATCGTTCCTTGATCGATTGGTGATGAAAGCGTCTAAATTTGGTATGTGTTTTGCCTCCTCCAAGTGCATAGTTCTTCCACAAGACTGGCAGGCACCCCTTACCCAATTCACCATCGAAGGCACACAACTCGAAAACGTACATAGTTTTATCTGGCGGTTGAACTGTTCGCTGAGCTTGGTAGTTTCGTTGCAAAAGTTTCGTCACCAATCGAGGTGACATCATCAGTGCGTATTTGAGTGGTGTGCAGTAGCGTAGAGGAGCCTCTCACCGGGGCCCCTCTACGCTACTGCACGCCACTCAACTACGCACTGATGATGTCACCTCGGCTAGTGACGAAGAGTTTGCAACAAAATTGCCAAGCTCAGCGAACAGTTCAACTGCCATCTGAACTACCTGAGCTACCATTCTTCAATTCCATAGTTTTATCTACCTAGGGAGCTGCGTTTGTTGACGGCACTATTGGAGCGGAGTTATCCCTTCGAATCGCTTAAGCCCAGTTAGCGTTTGCCAACTTAAGACATTTGTGCCGCCCTCGCGACATTTCATTCTCGCTGAAAGGTGGCGTTTACAAAGCCTGAGTACGAGCGACATTGCTGTACGGATGCGAATTCTGACCAATCCGTGTGCAAGACATGCGTAGTCTTTCGGCCTTCGACAATGGCTGTTTATGAAGGATTGGCCGCGTACGTTGACAACACCGAGTGTTTTATGATGAGGTTGGACACCACGTTTTGGGTAAGACGGATGTTCCGCTTTGTGATGTCCGGCTGCGTCAATTGAAATGGTTTGGCCACGTCCTGCGCTTGCTTACCGAGCGTTGACCACGCTACGCCCTGTTTGCGCACACAGGGTTACTTTGGAAATGGCTGTGTGGAGGTCAACCATCCACCTGGCAACAATGCATGAGGTCGATGTCATCTTGCCTGGCCATTGCTTGCCCCGTACGACTCCCCGGCTGGGGACCCAAAGATGAAGAATTCCAAAGGCTCACAACACTGGGAGCAATGACGCAAAACTGGTCACAGTGAAAGCACTGCGTACATGTTTGCCTGATATCACGTTTACTAACTCTAAAAACCGCAAAAAAGCGCTGTTCCGTTTTCTCCTTCATTATCAAGTTCTTTTACGTGTTGTACGTTTTCTTATTCTCCATTCTGAATTCCATGTTTCTGTATGGCTTGATGTTTATTTTATACTGTTGTCAATATCTTTAGCAGTCATCAGTGTTCAGTCACCTTGTTCTTCACATTGATGTTTAGAGGAACGTTATATCCTCGGTTGGATGGTCGAGAAACCTCCTCGTGCTGCCAGCTGAGTAGTCCAAGTTTACCCCGTTCCAGCAAAGAGTTCGGTGGCAGTGTGGTTGGTTTTCGCCTACCATACGTTCTCCCTATAGAAGCCACATATGTCTGTCTAACAACGCTGCGGATGTGACTCGCCACTAAATTAAAACACTGCCGCTTGTTTCACCCTGGTGGTGCGTTGTATTTAACCAGTCCTGTGCTGCAATTATAGGGAGTATTGGACTCCTGTTTGGTGACTTACCAAACCAAAGGAGTATGAGCCGAGAAATCGGTCACCGGCCCCCAACGGGTGCGAGTCCCTTATATCGCCCCACTACCTTATGAGTTTGGCCTAAGGCTCGGGGTGGCGGTCCCCTAAGAAACCCCCTACTTCGGCCTAGGCAACCGGGTTGTATATCGCCTACTAAAGAACCATGGAACTGAATTGAACTACACTCGCTCGCACTGTTAACGGATTGCTCTTCTGCTACTATTCTCGATCGCACGCCACCTACTCATGTACAATTCCTATGTATCATCCTCCCCCGCTTTCGTCTAACCCCTCATCGATGAACAGCATCGCGCTGCCTGATATAATTGCTGTTATATCAACCATACACCTTCAAACCGGAATAAAGCAATCTCATGATCCACCCCACCACTTCTTCAATCCAAAACGCAGTTCATGTTGGGAGCATTCTATGTGCGTACCCTAAACTAGATTGGACAACAGGCCAGTCTCGCACACACCCTGGAATTTCTTGCAATAGATGTATGTTGCTTATGTGAAACCCGACTTCAGGATGCTAACACGGTCTACCAACTGTCTTCACCCATACACCCGTTTCCTTCGTCGCCTTTCCGGCGACGCCGAATCCACTGCAGCTTGGCAAGCTGGTGTTGGGATTGCTCCTAGTTCCGAAGCCGCCCTTCTTGTATCGATACCCATCAACAATCATCTCTGCTTTATGCGTCTCCAAGGCTCGTCCAGGCATCGAGAAGACAAACACGCTCTTTTTGTTATATGCGCCCACTGATTGTAGCTCCGATACAGTCCAAGATCTATCCTACCAGAACCTCCATGACCTGCTTCTAAACGCCCCCAAAACGGACATCATTGTTATGACGGAAGATTTCAACGCGCGTGCTGGCCGTTTACTGCCAAGCGAACGCCATTTCGGAGGTCCGCATGCATGCGATTACGTTCGCTCGGCAAATGGAGAAAGACTATTCAACCTATGTTCCGACCACCTATATAATCTGAGCTTTCGCAACCCGAAACGCCACTACTCTACCTGGCTTGCTCCTTCATTGCAACATTGGTCGCAGCTTGACCACATAAGTCGCCGATGAGGTGTCAGTGTTCAAGACTGCTAATCTTATGGGTCAACTTGCATCGAATCTGATCATCCGTCGGTACATACCACGGTATGCATGCATTTTGGTGACTTGCCTAAGATCAAACAAACTCCTCTGAACATTAATCAATTGGAAGACCCCGCTGCTCAAGTGCAACATCAACGGATGCTCCTTGACAATCTTACTTTTCCCCCATCTTATGGATGTTAACCAGCATTGGCTACGTTTACAACAGATCATGTTTTCTTCGGATCTGTATACCTGTGGTCTAATTTGTTCAACATCTAAGAGTTGGATCTCGTCGCTATTTTCGGAATTACTTGACCGTCGGCGATCTATTTCCGTAAGTGTGGAGAATACTGAACTCCGACGAACCATTTCTTAACAATTAAAGGCAAATCTTCGCCGCGACCGTGAATCGTGCTGGTCCAATCGAGTCACCGAAATGGAAGCTGCTGCCACTACTAGAAACACTCGCAGATTATTTTATCTCATCAGATCCACTGGATGCAAATCACATGCCATCAGTCAGACGATCTGCGCGTTAGACGGTACTAGCATCACTTATCTACGCTGGATCTCTGGGCATAGCACTCACCCACCAATGATATCCCTCTTGCTGTCATGTGATGCATAGCCCATATGCACAGATTTTCCCACCGAGGCTGATTTGAAGAGAAATCCAGACACTGATAAGATACAAAGCCCCAGGCCCTGACAGCCTACCTCCGGTCCTATTCCAAGATGGAGGGAATACATTTATTAGCGAAGTACTTTTGTTTTTCAAGTCAAGTCCAATTAAGTTTTATCCGCCCGTATGGGTGCATTTTCACATCAACATTGCAGATTATTATACAACAAAACGTCATTGAGAAATAACAAATGATAGCAGTAAACGAAAATTTGCGTCTTCATTCAATCAGACGGTCACGAAAACGGCGTTTCGCTCCTGTTGGGTCGATTAGTAAATGTGTGAGGAAAGGCAGAACAGAGTTTCGATACGACAAGGTACGAGATTATAAAACTTTAAATTTTGTCTATGTGGACGAAGTAGATATAGTGCAGGCTAGGATATCGTGTAAAGGGTGCGAGGAGTCATTTAAAATTTTTGATGAAAAGTTAATGCACGCGTAGAAATTTTGCTAACAATGAAATTTATGAGTGTTTCCCTAAACCGGAGCAAGGAGAAATAAATTTTAGCGAAAGGATAAGTCAGAAATAACCTTTTTGAAGCATTCCTGGGAGAATAACTGGGGAACGGTATAATCAGTGTGAGAGAATACATGCGGTTACAAGCTGTTGATTTAAAGCACTGGGAACGGAAAGCATTTTAAGTCTGAGGGTGTAAAAAGAGTGTTCCTACCTTTTTAAATGTTTCAAGAACATGTGTAGACCAAGATAAATTGTGCGATAGAAGAACTGGATATTCTACGGTAGATGTGCGAGGTATGCTTTGGTCATCCACAATCATTGGAGCATCTGTCTGTTGGGATGTAGGAGACAGAACGTTACGTCACCACACTTGGAAGCATTGAGTGGGACCATGAGCTGGATCAATTCACTAGTTCGCGCAACCGCCGTTGGAGTTTCAGAGTCCTCCATGACAACGGCTATGCAACCCAGGACGACGTGAGGGAGAATTGATACAGCTGTAAACCTTAGAATTAAAAAACAGGGGACGGAAAGCATTTTAAGTCTAAGGGCGTTAAAAAGGAACCTTCTGACATGTTTAACTATTTCACTAACATGTGTAGACAATTGAAAGACAGGAACACTGAGATATTTTGCGGTGGAGGAACGAGGTTTGCTTTGGCTATCCACAATCATTGGAGGAGAGATATGTACAAGAGACAGCAGTCTGTTGTGATGTGAAAAAAGCCGTACGTTACGTCACGACACATGGAAGCGTCGAGAGAGGGCCCGGGCGCTGGACCAATTCACTAATTCGTTTAACCCCCGTTGGAGTTTCATAGAGTCCTGGATGCTTTGCGCTATACCTCCCAGGACGACGTCATCAGGGTATTTACAGCCTATGAAATTTGATGGAATAGGGAGGTTTTCAACGTAAATGGTGAAT